CCCTTTTTTTCATGTTAATTCCCCTACGAATTTCAGACACTTACGGAATTTACAGATCTATCATAATTTTTGAGAGCTCAAATCTATATTATCTTAAATGTCAATATTTATCAGAATTTTTTATCATTTTTCCGAAGATTTTTCAGTTTGATAAAGGGAATAAATATTTCCCCTACATGTCCAGAAGGGAAATTTATATAGGGTTGCACATCTTTGTGAGGTCATAGGAAATGAGTGGATGGGATTTGGATGAGGTAGGAGGGGAACTGGGATTATTCTCAATATGAATAACCAAAAAAATNTTGACAACTTCACAATTTAACGGTAATTATGATTGATGAATATGCCTATCCCTGGTCTCAAATGAAATTTTACTTCAGTAGCGAAGTGGTAAAACCTCAGTTGAGTTTTTGAGGAATATCTCCGAATCTAAGAGAGATATCAAAAATTTTGTAATCACATTTGTTGTAGAACTCAATCGGCTCTATAAAAAAGGTAATAACAAGAATTTTGCTATCTCCCTTAGATTCCGAGGAATTAATTGAAAACTGGTCAATAGTAAAAAATGACTTATACCGTTTCACCACTTCGCTACCGACTTCTATTCCTCCACTTTCTACTTCACCAACTCGTAATTTTTACCATGTTCGACAGTAAATTTTGCGTGTGGCGAGTCCTCAATTATGTTCACATAATAAAAAGTAATTTTATATTTTTTCCGTGTATTTTGTGGTGGGAATATATTCAAATGCATTCTTCGCTACCAAATACTTCGATAGACAAACAATCAATTAAATAAAAAATTCAAGGAAGAAGTATCTGACTGTGCTGCATCACCGGGAATTTTTCCAAAATTTTCCCAAATCTTGCGTTTGAGAAAAAAAATGATGAATTTTCAATGCTTTTGTATCCTCTCCAGCTGTCAGGTCGAGGTTATCGCCCTCTAAGAATAATGAAAAATGCGTAAAAAACTAGTACACGAGAAAGTAAATCTTGATCTCACTTTTATGCGACTTTTAACCCTGTTCTAGGTCTTTCGACCAAGATATGTCGACAAATAAAGCCCCAAACCGACGATTTCTGCGGTTTTTCGTTCACTCCACCGTGAGATCTGGCAATGTCGCGCTCGACCTCATTGGCGCGAAATTCAAACGTCGGTACGAATCTTCTTGGCATTCGGTGTAAATCTTAC